GAAACATTAACTCTGTGTTTTTTCCTTCACAGATGCTGCCAGACCTGCTGAGCTTTTCCAGCAACTTTGTTTTTGTCCATGATTTACAACATCCGCAGTTCTTTTGGTTTTTAATTAGTGATATTTATTATAATGGATGAACATGATGCTAAATCCCCTCCTTTTCTTTTATCTTTGCAGTCCCACTTTGGAGCAGAACAGTACTGATTATGTACTCCCCAGATTCTGAAGAGCACATTAGGCTGATCTGTGCTTTTGCAGATGTTCTGAAGACTGAATTGTGCTGTAACATCATCCTCGATCTATGGGATACTGGCAGGGTAGCAGAGATTGGTATTGTCTCTTGGCTTTACAGCAAAAGGGAACTTGTGGAGCGTGAAGGAGGAAAGATAATAATCATTTGGTCAAAAAGAAGCCAAGCAATGTACAATCAGTGGAGTATGCCAGACTCAGGAAGCAGAATGAACCACAGTGACTTGCATGACCTTTTCAATACCTCGATGGCTTGTGTTTACAATGACATTTTGCGAAACAGGAGGATTAAAGATTACAGTATTATTTATTTTGATGGACTATGCAACAAAGAGAACATTCCCGAAATATTTACCAAGATCCCCAAGTACCGAATGCTGAAGGATTTTTCAAATCTGGTATGTGCACTGCAGTCTGCTCCCAAAATTCCATGTGGCCTGAAGTTGGGCACTAAGTTTCTGGTGCGTAGAATCCTGCGGTCTGAAAAAATGCAAAAGCTGCGGAACCACATAGAGCAGTTAGCAAAGTTACAGAGACACGGTCTTCTCTGCTGTGAGGAATGTGACTGCTCCGACTGAGATTGGATTGGACCTGGCCTGTTTTAAAAGATCTCAGCAGTAATGAGGGGGAGCAGGACGACAGAGGTCTTTGGTTCAATGGTGGAATTAGACCTATTTCATTTTTATTTTGCACTGAACCTCCTGCTTCTGACACGAGGCTATAATGAATGACACTCTGCACACAGAACGGTAATACATGCGTTGGAAGCAAAAGCAGTGCAAACTTACTGTGCTGAGAAGGGTTAAATTCAGAAATAGGACACTGGAATCCATTACGAATTTAACCCAAGGAACTGGTGTTTAGAATGTAAAGGTGCTTAGTCACACATCAGTGTAATAACTGATCTGTGAATAGTCTTCACGTTGTGAATTATTGTTTGTATCTGTGTGTGAAACTGACTTAATGTGAGGTTAACATATCTGGGGGAAGGAAAGTAATCCTTCTCTATGGATGGAAGAGGAAGATGGAGAGGAGTGATTGGTAAGAATCTTTGTGGATATGCCAAACTTCCTTAGCTTCCTGAGGAAGCAGACGCATTGTTGTGCTTTCTTAACCATCACGTCAACATGTGTGGACCAGGACAGATTTCTGGTGATCACCACTCCCAGGAGCTTAATGCAGTCAACCATCTCCGCCTCAGCACCGTTGATGCAGATAGGGGTGTGTCCTCCACTCTGCTTCCTGAAGTCAATGACCAGCTCCATCATTTTGCTGATGTAGATGAAGAGACTCTGAGGTTCTCAGGAAGAGTCACTTGATCTGAAACATTAATTCTGAACTCTTCAAACACCTATTGCTAGACCTGCTGAGCTTTTCCAGTAATTTCTGTTTTTGTTGTTGTTGATGGAAAGATTGGTGTCTTTTACACCTTCGTGCTAAGCACCGCTTATTTCAGAGCACGTACTCCAATGCTGTGGCATCAGATCAGAATTCGGAAGTACTGCAGACATTTTTAACTTGTGATTCCAAAATGTGTTTCTTAAGGGATCCGATACAGGCTGTTTATGTAAATCTGCCGGACTAAGGAACAGCTTGTAATTTCAAGAAAAACCTGTTGGACTATAACCTGGTGCCACGTGACTTCTGACTTTGCCCACCCCAGTCCAACACCGGCATCTTCACATCATAAATTTGAGTGGCTGACCGGAGAGAGGGGGATGTACAGAATGTCATGTCGATGCATGCAAAGGGAACTTCAAACAGTAGCATGTCAAATAGACTGGACTGAGATCGTTATGTCTGCAAAGATAATACGGGGCTGACAGCAAACCACTCCCGGTAGACTATGTCTCAAACTGCAGACACGTTGTGAGTTTTTCTCTTTCTTTTAAGAATACACAAGGACAATGGTTAGAAAGCCAATTTCAGCTTTACTGAGGTGTGCTGGTGAGCCTGAACGTTCTCATATGTACCAGCTTGGATTCAAGCGTTAGCATTCTGTGAAGGTCCTAGTTGAAGAACAGTGTCATAAGAATGTAAGAAACAGGAGCGGGAGTAGGCCATCTGGCTTATCGAGGCTGCTCCACCATTCAATAAGATCATGGCTGATCTTTTCATGGTCTCAGCTCCACTTACCCACCCATTCACAATAACCCTCAATTCCTTTACTGTTCAAAAATCTATCTATCTTTGCCTTGAAAACATTAAGCAAGGTAGCCTCAACTGCTTCACTGGGCAGGGAATTCCACAGATTCACAACCTTTTAGGTGAAGAAGCTCCTCCACAACTCAGTCCTAAATCTGCTCCCCCTTCTTTTGAGGCTAGTTTTACCTGCCAGTGGAAGCAACTTCCCTGCTTCTATCTTATCTATTTCCTTCATAATTTTATATTTTTCTATAAGATCCCCTCCACCTCACCATCGTTCTTCTAAATTCCAATGAGTATAGTCCCAGTCTACTCAATCTTTCCTCATAAGCCAACCCTCTCAACTCTGAAATCAAACTAGTAAACCTCGTCTGCACCCCCTCCAGTGCCAGTACATCCTTTCTCAAGTAAGGAGACCAAAACTGTGCGCAGTACTCGAGGCGTGGCCTCACCCCTTTGTTGCAGGTGAAGAAAGAACCTTTCTCCCACTCAGTGCTGCAAACAAGACAAAGGCAACAGGGTAACAAAATACCTCCATCCCCTCACCCTCCCCTTTGGTCACGGTTGAAAGGAATCAAAACCATAGAATCTCAACCAATCTGCAAAGCTGAGGATTGTGAAACCAACTGTTCAACTACCAACTTCAGTGCTAACTATAACCTTCACTGCAACATACTAGTATCCACTCTTCACAAACAATTCCGAAACTGTTTGTTCTTTTTTAGAAACTTTTATCTTTTTGGACTTGAATGCAAGTTAGAAATAAGAGGTATGTGTGTTGCGTTCACACTCTTCGTGAACTAGAGACAGCCTGGTTAAATTGACTCCTTTTAAAACACAAGTTTATGTGCACTGGGAGAAAGTTTTTTCCACAAGAGCAGGGATCCTTTCTAAATTAACCTTGCTGCAACCAACTGTGAAAACAGTCACAGTGAGAAAAGAAAGGGGGTCAGTTAACCACGTCCCCAAAACCCAGGGTTTGGTGTATCCCATCTGGAATTGTGATGAATTGGGGAACCTCACCTGGGGTCTGCTTGTAACACAGTCTTTCAGTCTGAATCCAATCTAACCTTCAATGGAAAAAGGAGTCTTTTGACTTTGTTGCATTTGATAACCAGGAATTTCCAATATTCTCATATCTTTCTTTTTTCATTCACGGGATGAGGGCATCGCTGGCTAGGCAGCATTTTTGCCCATCCCTAATTGCCCAGAGGCAACCACATTGCTGTGGGTCTGGAGTCACATGTAGGCCAGACCAAGTAAGGATAGCAGTTTCCTTCCTTAAAGGACATTAGTGAACCAGATTGGTTTTTCTGACAATCGGCAATGGATTCACGGTGTTCGTTAGATTGTTAATTCCAGATATTTTATTGAATTCACATTCCACCAACTGCTGTGGCAGGATTTGAACCCGGGTCTCCAGAACATTACCTGGGTCTCTCTGGATTAAAAGTCCAGCGATAATACCACTAGGCCATTGCCTGCCCAGTTATCGACCAGTTATTTCCTGAAAACTGAAACTTAACAGTACAGCACTTCACAGGTAATGTTAGTAGACTGAAGATTCAGCCAACCTGTTTGGGTACCATAGGATTTTTAACTTTTTCTCTGCCTTGTCACAGTATCATGTTCTGGAATTGCTGCCAAGCTGATGCCTTGACACTGATTGGCAAAAGATTCAAGCGTACCTTAGGGTGCTCCTCCTTCCAGTTCTTCTGTTCCTCTTTGTAGAGAAACATTCAACATCTCATCACTTAACAGAGCTGGATCCTAGAATTCTCTCCAGGAAATAGTGGATGCGGACTTGGTTTCTATGGTCATCTTTTGGTTTGAGGGATTTTTGATGTTGCTGTCCATTTTGTACAAGGCCTGGATAGACATCACTGCAGGTTTAATATCACTGCTCATTATGGAGGAGCTAAGGTAAAGTCACCATAGTCCCAGAGGGCTGCTCTCTCATTAGAGAGAGGCAACTGATAGTGGTTAAACCTCAGGGTTACCACACCTCAGGTGAGGGGAGAGATTGAGAAAGAAAGTCCTTCATTGTAACCTTAGCTGGTGCAAGATTTGAACCCATGCTGTTAGTATTGCACTGCATCACCAACCAGCTGTCCAGCAACTGACTGGCATTGGGAAACATGTACATAGCGGGTGGGTTGTAACTTTAGTTCATTGCCTGCCCCTTACATTGCTGTCAAAGCCAGAGACTGAGATTAAATTAGCTAAGGATACTGGCCAAGTAGCTGGTGCCCCTGCCTCTGAGCCAGAAGGTCTGTGTTCAAATCCTCACCTGGGCCTTGATGGTGAAGGAAAGTGCACAATGTAGCCAAACTCATTGAGTATTGTGACCTGCTAATCCTTCCAATACTTGTTGATGGCAGGTGATTAGAGCGGGAGAAATTCCTGTGGCCAAGTTGTGCAAGAAAGTTGGAACCTCTACTGTCACGATCCATAGATTGAGATTGCAACATACTGTGGCAGCGTGCAGTTTTTACATGCAGCTCTGATTCCGAGTGAATCCAAAACTTAACCATGAAGCTTTTCTCACACAGAGTTAACAGCCTGGAGATTCAGTCAACACTCACTGTGAGGGTATAAGTGAACAAAGAGGATTGGGAAAACTGGCAATTCTGTAGATTATTAAGAATGAGAGGTAATGTCATTGAAACCGACCTGCATCTATGCTGTCTATCACAAATAAGATGTTTCCTCTGGTTGAGAAACCAAGAATTAGAGGGTACATCTTTTTTTTGAAAAAAAGGGAATGCCACTTATATCAGGGATGAGAACTATTTTTAAACTCGGAGGGTTGTGAATCTTTGAAATTCTCAACCACAGAAGGCTATAGAGGTTCAGCCTTTGAGTAGGTTTAAGGTAGAGATTGATAGACTTCTGATTACCTGTGAAGTACAGGTTTATAGGGATGAAGTGAGTAAAAGACATTGAAGTGTTCTATCAACCATGATCATATTGAATGGCAGGACAGGTTCAAGGGGGTGAATGACCTTGGCAGTAATTCCAGAATACAGTCTTGTGATGAGGCAGAGAGGAAATTCAAAATCGTACCATACCCTCAATGTGACACTACTACGAGGTTCAGTTCCTCTTTTGTTTTAGTATCCAGACATCTAACCATCACCACTTCATATTCCTAACATTTTATTTTGTAGCTTCTCAAGTGAATGATGTTAGAATGCCAAGCACAAACATATCACTCTTTTAAGAAAGTATCTTTACAACCAACATCACCTCTTGTCAGTATTTTGCATTTTAATCCTTGGGCATCCAGTTTCATCAGAGGAGTCAAAGGAGCCATTTGGATCCAGTGGACGGTATAAATGTAGGAATTTTGGATCGTGCATAACCTGGAGTTTTACTTAAGATGGCAAACAAGAATTCCCCTGGAAGTGACTCTCAGCTTCAAAAACCAGTT